TTACCCACAAACAACTCTAATAAAAAATATAAATAATGATTTTTGTAAGCAGTGATGGATAGTGGCTAGCAGTGAAATCCAGAACGCGCGTTTCGTCCTATTTGGGACTTGTCAGCTGGATGTACCTGTATCTCAGAGTTGATGTTCACTCTGGGACTTATTATTATTATCTTTAAATGTAATCTATTAAATGAATTTTAAAACAGCCCTAATTAGATTCACTTGGTATTGTTTACTTGAATCTTTCCATTGATACTTATGACTGCAATGGATCAGCCTCTTATTGACATATGTGCATACTGTGTAGATTGCCACGATATTGCATTAATTCACAAGCATTATAAGAAAAGAAGGATGGTGACTAGCAGCAAAATCTAGGACGAATTGTCGGAACAATTATGCAAGTCAATCAATTACTTTAATAGTGTAACTTATATTAAAGGAATTCGTTTCCTATAGCAAACTGTTATATGTACTACCGTACATTTTGTTTTAACGAAATAATACTGTTTTATATAACATATGATTGGTAGATAAATCTAACTAGTTTTGACACATTTCTTAGATAGCCTTAAGTTACATTCAAAGCTTCAGCATTTATTGTAATCAGTAAACAGTTAAGTGTAATTCTTGAAGAATGCTGCTCAAATTCATTTGCTCAAAGATCCGTTTATTATTGAATTTTTGGTAAAGAACAAAATGTTAACGAAATAGGGATTGATTAAGTCCGATGTCAGGTATTATTGTTATTCTTAAATAGTTGAATAAAATGTACCTATACTGTAGGATCCTAAGTAAAATTTATTATTAAAAAGAAGGGAAAATACATTACTGTGAATCAGTTCCTACATAATACTTTATATGTCTTTCAAGGTTTTCATTTATGTTTATCAGTATTGATTTAAAGAGATTGTTATGCCTTTAGGCTGAAAATCATTAACCAAGCAGTTTTGCTTTAGAATAATATCTACGTATTTTCATCTTTCTTAATAGTGATATCAATAACAAAGGTTTATTCTTATATGAGACTCATCAACTCAACATAACTTAATTCATGTTAGTGTTTAAACTGAGATTCGAACATAATGTGCATCACTTCATAAGCCAGAGATTTATTTTTAACAGAACTTCTTCTAATTAACTTTCGAGACACCATAATCAGTAGTGACCATAATATCAGGAGTAAGACATTGAATCTCCGATGACACTGGATGATAATCATGCTATTGATTAGTAATTGACTGAATTTAAATATATAGAATAATGAATATAAACCTATGATTTTAAAACTTAATGTTTTCACAAAACCAAAACCTTCAGTTTTGAATAACTTAAGAGTTTATGTACATGTACCGACCAGTGATTACAGCCAGAACTTTCTCACTATCGATAGTTGAGTGCAAAAGTAGATTGAGAAACTAAACTCATAATTAAAAGTTTTAGTTGATAGATGAAAAACTGAAAATATTTATTCATTTTGAGAATTTCGCTGATTCCTTTGATTATAAATATAATGAAGTATTGATTCTTCTGTGAATTAAGTCCATAAGTTAAATAAGCAAACACAGATTTTTAAATTGAATGATTTTAACAGTGAAATTAATAATTTTTTGATTAAGATCATGAACTGATTTATGTTAGACCCCCATTGAAACCTAGAAATATTAGATGACCGTTTCGTCCCATTGTGAAACGTCTCAACAATGCTCATCCATGATTTCGCTCACGGGATTCGAACTTAGGTTCCAGTGCTTCCAGGTTTTTAATGATAGTCTAACATCAGTCGATTCACGATCTCAATCAATTTCCACAACCCTATAGAGAAAATTAATAATTCCCAATTGTTTTTTACATTTGATGTGTCGAATGATAAATAGATAGATAAATGAAGTATTTCCATTTTATTTTAGTTACCTAGTACTTTTTTCGATGAAAAAACATCATCTGAGCACTAACCATCACACTAAACTTTACATTATTGATTATCCATTACATGTATTTTGTCACTGATTCCAATGAACGTCACAATGTTATACATATATGAAACGATATTAGTAGAATTCTCTATCACTATATAAAATTTCTTTCCCTTTTTTTGATAGAAAAGAGTTATTTTGACTACACATTCAACCAATCACCCACCCACTTACCCACCACCCACAAAAAAATCAATCCAAATACCGGAAGGTCTGGTCAAACATTTAATCATACATCATTTCGTATTCATATTACAATTCATAAATTAAAAAAATAATAATAATCGAGACTATTTTTACATTTACAGTTAACAGTAGTTGAATAATCTATTCATGTTCAAAATTACTTTAATTGTGATTTTGTAATAGTTTTATGCTTTATGTACAAATATAATTAGTTTTATATGGAATAAGGTCACTAACTACATACCGAACTCTCCTCATTTATCCAGGTTTAGAACTGACAGTAGCCTGACATGAGCTTCAGGTGGATTGTTTAATACTGGGATATACCAGGTTGGAATGATTATTGAGTTTAATTGATAAAATCAATGAATGTTTTTATTATATGAATAAATGTCTATGGAACACATGAGACAAACTCACTGAATTGATGGTAACAAAGAATTTGCTTAGTTTATCTTAATCAGCTAATTGTAGATTGGTCAAGTTGAATTTAACGAGTTGTATGATATCTTAAAAGTAAATAACTTCAGTGTTTACAGAAATATAGTGAATTTTATATACTTTTCTTCATATCATTCTATTACTTCTGTGCAATAGCTTGTTAATAAGTCTTTCAGAGACTTTAATTGATAAATAGATGACTTTGAACAGGTTAAATGGATACTACTTAATGAAATTTATCATTCAGAAAATGAACCTACATATTTTCATCTATTTATTTTATTTTATGATAGTAGGCTTATTTATATTAACTATACTTACAGTTTTATGAATAGCCTAATATAAGTTGAAATAAGATGAGAATAATCACTGAAGAATAGCGCTCGCACACGAGACTGATAGGTCCTGGGTTCAAATCTCTCTAGGCGTGATCGTCAATACGCACTGATGAGAAGTTCCATAGTAGGACGAGACGACAGTCCAGTGCTTCAAGGTTTTTCATGATGATCTAATTTCCACTGACTCATGAATTAAACTATAAAAAATTATTATAACCACAAAACCCCTTCTGACAATGCAGTACAGTCCGAAATTACTTGAAATTCACATTGTAATACATACCATATGAATAATGAAAACTTGAGATGATAATACCATAATTTATGGACGACCTTTAAGCGATGCTAAAGTGGTCTTGAGACTGTCCACCTAATAACTAGAACTAAATGAGGGTTATAAACCAGTTTGAGGGATTAGAATTATGATTTACATTTAATGGTTAAGATTAGGGATTAGATATAGGTTTTTCATTACGAACTGACATCAATTATAATGCCAAAACTCTATTTAACCAAACGGATTAGTGGATTTTGCTCCAAAATCCAAAACTTGTTATCACATATTTGATTGGTTCGTTCATAAATTATCGTCTCCCCATTAAATTGGTCGAAATGAACAAATCGGTCAATTTGTATGGTGAACAACGACTTTGCATTGTTAAATATGTATTTTTATCAAAATGGGATTTGTGGAGATTGTAGTAATTTTAATAGTTGAATTCATGAATCTATGTAGGCTAGACCGCAACTGAAAACCAGGAAGGTCGTTTCGTTCTAGTATGGGACTCCTAAGCAGTGTTCATCCACGATCTCGCACGTGGGATTCGAACCCAGAACCTTCGGACTTGAGCGCGGACGCTTAACCTCTAGACCGGCATCCAATGGTGTCAATGTCGAACTTCCATCGATCCATGATTATCTGTACAACCATTCATCCATTGTCCGAAGTAGACACCTGTCTCTACCCGACACGGGTTGAACCCCATTGGTCATGAATTCAGCAATTAAAATATGCATTTAACATAAAATTCTGCAAATTATAACTAAGAGTTTATTTTATCGTTTATGATTATTTTCACCCATAAAAATTTGGATAAAAGCTATTGTGTTATCGGATTTTCTTATCATTACCAAAACACTAGCTATACACCTGGGAAAATCAGAATTGTGTCTATACGAAACTGGTTCAACCTATTTTTCTACTATAGTTTTAATCTGTCGAAATTGTCTTTCTTCTCTACACTTTTCTTCCTCCACAGACATCTGCTTTCGTTCTATCTTTTCTATAGACCTTTCACCCCCAAATGATTCGTTTCCGTTTCTATAATCTCTTGATAACAGTTCATAATGATTTTAACAATTTGTCTTATCATGATGAGCCTTCCTTTCCCAATTATTATCTTCCTATCTATCTTTATGATGACCATTCAATGCCTTAACGACAAAACTGTTATTAGTTTCCCTGATAAAAAATAACATTTTGATGCTACCACGTTTAACAGAACTTTATTATCGCTATGATTGTAATTATTATCCTTTTGTAAAATAAGTACATAAGTTGTGTATACTACTTATGTCTTTGAACATAAGTAGTTTATAACACCGATCAGAAGAGCGGTCCCTGGTCTCAAAAGGCTGACAAAATCGAGTTAAAGAAAACAGAAAGCAAACTAGAAAGTAATGGTGAAATGGAAGAATCATACAGAATGTGAAAAACAGTTGATGGAAGATTTTCCAATGAAGTATTCAATGTATGGTTCTCCTATTTTGTGAAGATATTCTGTAATTTTGTATTAAATAATTAACTGGTTGTCTCTACCGGAATTCTCGGTTATTACATATATATATTTGCGATTGTACGGCTTTGAAAGTGAATACACTGAAAAGAGAACTATTCGCTGGACCAAGTTTTCGTATTTTGTAATCACATGCACACACATGTATACAGATATTAATGAACATAATCAAATATAGATAGATTAAACATGTTTTATTCCTAATCAAATTAAATCCTAATGGAATTTATTAAGCTGTTTCATTTTTTATTAATTTTATTCAGGGGGTTTCCAACTATTTGATAGCCAGTTTAGCTGTTGCCGATTTAATGGTTGCAACACTTCCAATGCCAGTAGCTGCTATCTATGAAATCTCTGAAGATTGGTGGTTAGGTAAGTTATCTTGTACTACATTTTACATATGAAATTTTAATTATCTAATCAATCAAATTAATCTAAACAATTTATGATGGTAAGCCAAAATAAATGCCAAGTTATATTAATAGAAATAAATTACATATAAGCAAAGATGTATAGTGGCTAGTAGTGGAATCCATGGGGCATGTTTCGTCCTATCTCATAGTTAATGTTCACTCTTGGACTCGAACCCACTACCGTTCGGTCCAAACGCATTCGCTATCGAGTCTTGATAGCCATTTGCTTAGAATGCTTATGAATTAAGACTATATCGGGGCAATACACACAGTATACAAATATAATAATAAGAGACTGATCAATTGTAGTCCTAAACATCAATGAGAAGTTTCAAGTGTACAATATCAATTGAATATAAATTACATATGTTGTTTGAAATATTAATTATGGTATTGAATAATTAGTTATCTTTACTTGATTTACTGTTTATAGGACTAAATAAAGAATAATAAATGATCGTTAAGTAACATGCACAGAAGTAACTATTCAGATATTATGGATAATTATATTCGATTATTGAACTGAAAAATTAACTTGCTTTAATTCAAGTTTACTACATCACTATTGACACTATAAACGTGACTGAAAGAATTCTACTAGAGTTTAGGAACATGACTTTTAGTTAGGCATTAATTAGTATATACTATACACTCGTAGTAACATAGATTATGTATACATGTATGTACGAGTACTTGTTGATACTGTAAGAAATGATTTAACTAATTGTGATTATCAAACGTTTTTTATAACTGTTGAAAGTTATTTAGGAATGAAGCATTTGTAGCCGTTGGTCATTTTGGATTAGTTAAAAACAGACATCCTATGAATCATTTGGATTTCCATCCATCCATGTTCGTCGATAAGTGCTAATGAGCGAAAATCAAACCAAGATAAAATAAATATCCAATATCTTTTGGTAATGACTTCATGGAATAGTTTACTGAAGAGTGGTTTGTTTTATGGTTTACATCAGTCACCAGTGAAAACCACGGGACACTAGACAGCTATTTCATCTTAGTTAGAAATCAGAAGGGCTAAATAAATTTAGACCATCATATCGTGTAACATGAAATAACTATCACCTGTTCTATGCTTTTCGACAATACTTTAGATTTGTGTTACAAACAATCTTTAATCAATAATTAAAAGGATGCCAAAAATACAACTACAGCAACAAAATGCAATTTATTTTACAGTTTGTCGAATGGTCATAAAAGGTTGATTGAGATTAGATGTTAACGCCAATAGTACCGTACAGCCCAGTGGTCTAGAAATTAAGCGTTCGCTCGCAAGACCGAAGGACTTGGGTTTGAATACTGAGAGCGGGATCATGCATACTCACTGCTGAGGAGTCCCACAATAGGACGAAACGACCATCCAGTGCTTCCAGGTTTTCAATGGTGATCTGACATCAATCGGTTCATGATCTTAATCAAAAACATAATAATCTCCACAACCCCATACTGATGAAATGATTAATGGTTATTTAACTTAATGTATACAATAAAATACATGAATTATTATTTTTTAAAAGGCTTTTTTATAGTGTAATAATGTATTTGACTTCGTCGGATTAAAATACTGTTGATGAATCAATTTGTTATAGCTGTGAATTAAATGTCAAGGATAATTAGTTTTATTTTTCATTTTAATATAAAAATGATATTGTTCCCAAAGATTACATTTGCTCATCTCTCCCTCCTCCCCTCTCTCACTCCATACATATATATGTACTTGATAAATTTTGACAAGGCTGTTAATAGAAATACGTGAATTACCCTTGTTTACTTTTGGGTAGTGGATATATTTTGTTGTATAGTGGAATAATTTAGTTCAGCTTAGTGCTTTCATTGAGATTCGAACCAACTTATTAAAATAGGCAAGACACCCGTCCATGTAACTGATACGTTTGCAATTGAACGTTTAGACACTGAGCTTCTAAGCGCCAGAAGTTTCTAGAAAACATGTTATAATTAATAAAGGGTTGGTAGATGTTCATTCCAGATAATAAAAACACAAGATTTTGTCTTCTAGAATTCTCCTGTATGTTTTCGAACACTAACCCATAAAACTTCTAACAGGGATTACTTGGGGCTTTGAAATGAACCCAAAATACAAAAAGTAAGTGATCTTTTCAGCTGTAAATCCCTGGACAACTAATAAGATTATAGACATTATTAAATATGGTAAAAATTAAGCACTAAAACCCATCTTTAGAGTATGATATGAAGTTGGGTGTTGAACGATGCGATTTGAGACTGAAGTTTCATTTTATTTGACTCTGAAAATATTCCAATGTTTTGTATTGACTAAAGAATTTAGTAGCATGTTTGTTATTATTATTACCTAATATTCTACTACTTTAATTCAATCTATGTGTGGTAAACAAGAGTCGCTCATTGGTCTTGAGTTCCGTTAGAGGTATGAGGGCGGTTATCACTTCCTGGTTGTCTACACCGTGGAAGGGTTCTTCTGCAGGTACGTGAAAAGGAAATTGGATTAGCGGTGGTCTTAGTGATCTGAGAGTATGACCATAGTGCCCAAAGGACAGCTGCTTGAGTCGGTCACACATGAACTTTTTGTGTGTAATTCTTGAGTTAGCTCCATACTTGTTGAAAGCTAACCGCCGGAAACGGAAATCTGTGGGGTAAGGTGAGTTGTGCATTTTTAGGGTCGACCTTTTCTAACCTCACCCCTCCATATGGTAAGGCAGCATCTCTGTTATACTGGTTGTCTGAAGGAAAAACCTTACTGCCGTCACACCCATGTACAATCAGCAGTACGACTTTGCCCTCTGACCATGGGTTTTCTGTTTTTAGTTTTACCGTTCTTCAACCGACCTGTCTGGCATGGTAGGACATTGAGGAACGATTGTCCCATCCAGTATAGCTCAATTGGTTCATCACGATAGGCAAGCCCAACCACTACGTCATGGTAGCAACGACGGTCCGGACAAGAGTCACTACGCATTTTTTAAATTCGAACTTCAAGACTTATTTGATACTTCTAAAGATTCAAATGAAAGAAAATTACTTAGTTAGATGGTTTGTGTAAAGTTTATTCGGCTTAAAAACGTTTTTCGTTGCAGCATTAAACATTTGATAAAGTATTAAAACACTAGTGAAAGTTTAAGATTAACCGATAGTTTATGCATATGATTGTTTACGAGATTGAATTTAAGACATTCATAAATAAATTAGTGAGACATATATATTTTATCTTGTCCAAAATATTGAATGTTGCATTATTTCAGACTTATTTATTGACGATATGCTATCTTTGATTTATATTCGGATCATGTGAATATGTTATGGAAGATGTTCTAGATGAATTGATGACGCGGAATTTTCGATTGTTAACATCAGTAAATAAAATGTTAATCGATAGATGAATACAGTGATATAACCGAGTGTTAGCTTCTCACGAGACTGTATCATTAACTTAGATTTACGTATGATTTTAAATAATAAAAACAAGACAATTAGCCAGATGAATAAGGTTTTGTGTGTGCGCTTGTGTACAAAATATAAACTCAAAGTGAACATGATAAAATGTCTTAAATGATTGAAGGAATCGGTTGTAGGTCACCCATTTTCTGATCGATTAAAACCCAACAGTTGGGCCTAATGTTTAGGCATCGTATGACAACGTTTATTCAATTATATGTTATGCTGTCAGTTTCAAAGTAATTCTACTTGTTTAATACATCAACCGGTATATAGGGTATCAAGGAACTCTAAATACATTAAAAGATACGTTAAATTAGTCCAGTCTCGTCAGTGCTTTTCAATATCCAATCATTACTGTAACTCAATATTGAGGAGTTTCTAGTGTAGGTAGTCTTCGGCGATCATCAACAAGGAGTACTTTCAAGTTTGTAGGACTTGGTGTTACTTGTAGGATTCATATCTGAATCACTCAGTGGTCATATTTCAATTTCATTGGTATAATTCGATCAACACTAAGGACTAGACAAATATAATGTTGACTACTACTCAGTAATTAACTAATGTACTAATATGTAGAATTTTTATAACTATTCAACTATATATGAGCGTAATACACCTTAAGACTCATTGTTCTATGAATGTCTACGATTAATGACTGTATGAAATGAATGAATGTTGATAACATTTTGAAGTTGAAATTGATTAGTAGTGTAGTGAACGAGAACACAAGTGGGGAAAACCAAATGTAAAATATCAGTCAATCGTCTCAAATTCCATTGTTCCTTCTTCTCCACACTATTCATTCTTTATTCTCGTTCTCTTTTCTTTGATCTTCTCAACTTCTGCTGCGAGGTATTTCACTTTCAATTGGTGATACATACTACTAATATCTATTGACGTCAATAATATACACCACAGTAGAGGATTATGTTTAAAATAGATTACATCATAAAATGTTCCGAGAGTTCAAGCAGCAAAAAAGTCACGCATTCATCTAAGAGTTATCGAAAAATAATGAAGGGATAAGAAATGTTTCTTATTTTCGTCCACTTCTCTCTAACCTATCGATAAACTGCACGATATTCTCTTGGTTTTTGATAAATAATTTCTTCCCTTTCAGTTTCTAAATTACACTCTTTATCCAAATTTTTATCTTCAAATGCTTGACTCTCTAAAAATTATTTATTTATTTACACTTTTACTAGATATTCATGATCCAATCATCTTTGAAAGATAAGATTGATGTAACATTGGTCATTATTCAGTGATCAATCAGTTGTAAATGTCTCAATCAAAAGGGAATTCAATCGTGGTCCAGATAGATAAGTGATTACATCTCAGACTTTGAAAGTAAATAAAAAAAGTTCTTATCACATTATCAGCACCACTTCCCTTAAGCTTATAGATGCTCCTTGCTAACTAGTCCTGACTAGCATAGAACCTAGATTAGGAAGGTTTTCCTGTCAATAACCTCCAGCCATCCAACATTGCTAGTCATTATGTAACCTG